TGCAAAGATAACAGGAATTCCCACTGTGCCCTCAAGTGAAAGGCCTACGTATGCAGAGCAGATCCAGTTCTCCCAAATAAATATAGCTATTCAAAACTTACAGGAACACAAAACTTTCACCTGTTCTGACGACCTATCTGAAAAAGTCTCTAAATAAGTATAGAATCTAGAAGTTTTTATAGGAATTAAAATGATTTATTTTGAAGCTATTCTTTCCATCTGCAGAGAGTTTATATAAAGCATTCTGCAGATGTTAAGAATAGCTTCAAAATAAATCATTTTAATTTCTATAAAAACATTAATCAATAATCAATCATTTCTATAAAATAATTTTAAATTCTATATATAGAAAAGTTACCATTTTCTAGTAAGTTTTACAGGATTTTCCACAAAGATATCTTAGCTACCTCTGACCTGGGCTCATTTCCAAAGTCCATTGTTTGTAAGACCTTCTCTCCTCAATTTGGGTTCTACCTAGAGCTGTAGTTTTCAACCTGTGGTCGGTCTGCAGACCTCTGGGGGTGCACAGACTGTCAGCTGCTTTTGCGGAAAAACTTGCCAGCTGTCTAGACTGGCCGCTTGAATTTCCTCAAGAACACTGACGATCTCATGTAAGAAATCAGTGCTTCTTGTGGAAATACTATGCTGCTCCCATTCAGGCAAAAATCCTTTTGCACAAAAACTTTTGCACAAAAGGGCCAGTGTAGACAGTTCAGATTTGTTTTGCGCAAAAAAGCCCCGATCGTGAAAATGGCGTGAAAAAGTGCTTTGGCAGAAAAGCGTCAGTGCCAATCTAGACGCTCTTTTCCGCAAATGCTTTTAACTGAAAACTTTTCCGTTAAAAGCATTTGCGGAAAATCATGCCAGTTATTTCAACCCACAGACTATGTTCAAGATTTCCAAAGGGGGACTGTACCTCCATTTGAAAACATTTAAGGGTTCACAAATGAAAAAAGGTTGAAAACCACTTAACTAGAGTCAAGAACAAATTCCCATTTATGATCCTACCTACCTAAATCAACCACTTCTGCAGTTTCAACAGGATACAATATTCTTCCTCACTTCTTGTCCCAAACTGTTATATAAAACTATTACTCTACAGATGATACATTCTACCATCATGGTGGACGAAGTGATCTATCACGGGATCTATATGGTGTTCTGAAGCTTAATTCGTGTTTGCAAAATGTTTTGAGATCTTCAGACCAAATTGCAAGGTTTTATTAGCAAGAACTCCACGCTTCAGCGCCCAGACAAGGATACCAACCACCAAAATCCACCAGTGATTGAATGTGTGATTTCTCTAGGCCCAAACCATGAAGTTCAGGTCCGAACTTTTGTCCCCACATACCCAAAATTCAATGGCTGTTTAGATCTAATGTCATGGTTCAGACCCAGACCCGAACACGGTTGTTTCCTCCGAGCAGCTAAATATATAATTTTACAAATTATTGAGAAACCTATCTACCCCAGAGTGAATGCATTCTTGGCTCTTGATAATTTCTACATGCATGTGTTTGCACTTTTGAAAGACACTGACACCATTTCTTCTTAAACTGAGTTGTTAGGGCCAGCAGGTGGTGGTCAGTCCTTGTACTAAGGGGGAGGGGGGAGTATTCTCAAGGAGGAACTAAAAACAGCTGAGATACCACAGCATTTACAGTTGTTCATATTTATTTCTCCTGGCATCTTAACTATTTGTAAGCAAAGCTTAGCTCTTAAACTAAGCCCCTACTTGACTGACTGCACTTGTAGCAAGGTATAACTGAGAGCAGAATTTGAATTGGAAGGTGTGAGCCTCAGCTGATGCAAATTGGCATCAGTCCGTTGGCTTCAGTGAACTATAAAGTCAATGGATCTATTGTGATTTCCAGCTGCTGATGATTTGGCACTTAACAAAAGCACACATTGTGGGTTCAACTAGCATGAAAAGATAGTAACACTTCTAATGTAGAAACAGCTAAGCAAGCAGTTGAATTATAAGATGAAGGGTACATATTAGAGGGATGGCTGACCCTAAGAGAGTTCTGGGATTCAGCTTATATAAGATACAAGCCCAGCGACTTTTCCCAACACCAAAGTTGGCCTATTAATCTCCCACAAGCAAGATTTCAGTTGTGTCCTTCTTCCAGTTCACTTGTCCCCAAAAATCAGTGATAGCCTCACTCTGACTCACTCCCAGAACAGGGCTTTCCTGTGCCGTGCAGGCATATGGGGGTTTAGGGGGGGGGCAGGGGGAATACCGTCTCGTCATGTAATTAAAGACTGTATCACAAGCATACACCAAAAGGGAGCACAATAGGTTGCAACTTTGATTTTGGCATTTCCAAACGTGGCTTTGCAATTTTAAAATGGTTCTTTTAGAATATCTTTATCACACACACATCTCTATGGACTGATTCAGCACCATTGAAGTCAGCAAGAGTTTTGCCATTGATTTGTACATGAGTAAGGATATGTCAATAAAGCATGTGCTGTCAAAGATGATACTCTCACCATTTACCATTAGTCAAAGCAGCAATGGGCTTTGGGCCAGGACTTATGTAAAGCCAAACTGTTAACGTAGGATCAAACCCAGAAGTTCACGCAAAGGTAGTGAGTTTTGCCTCAGTACGGACTGAGAGATTTGAGCTTCCGTAATACCTTCTGATGCAACATGTTTCTACTTACAAATAGAATAGGAAGATGAACAAAGAGGATCTTTCTGTCTGATGCACACAAATGATATATCACGTACTTGGTAGAGCTGGCGTGTTATTTCAAAAATGAAGCAAAGCACATTCAAAATTCAGAAGGGATCCATTTTACTTAGAAATATTGGAGCCATAGATAGGTTGGCAACTCTTGGCCTATCTTTCACATATCACACCAGCTTTGGTGTTGCCGTCTTACCTATGTTCTAGAGAAGGAAACCTAAGATGGATAAACTCTACAATTCATATACTCTAGAGAACAGACTGTCTCATCACCATGCAGAATAAAGAAAACAGGTGAGCTCCTGTCCCCAATGGAGTCAATGGCAAAACTCCGATTGATTTCAATTAGCTCAGGATTTTACCCACAATCTTTACCCAACGTATTTAGATTGATATGTGTAATGCTGAAACATCTGACCTTTCAAGCCTTGATGCAGCTGGAGTTCCAAGCAAAAAGTGCTTTTGGAATCAGACCTCAGACGACAACAGGTTCAAGAAAGAATTGCATCCAGTGTTTTAGTACCATTGTACATTTTTCCCCGTTCCTCGTGAAAGATTTTACAGGGTAAGACTTGATCCAGCTCCCATTAAATACATTGGAAAGACACCAAGGGTATGTCTACACTACAAAGTTAATTCGAACTAACGGACGTTAGTTCGAATTAACTTTGATAGGTGCTACACAAGCGCACCGCACTAGACCTCCGCACTAGGCACAGGAAAGTGGCCGTCTAGGGCAGGAGAGCTGCCAGCCTGGCCACCCAGGAGCATGTGTGCATGAAAATCAAGGTGGTCCACTGAGACCCCCAACCCTGAGCCCTGAGCTTAGAATGGCCGTACTGGGTCAGACCAAAGGTCCATCTAGCCCAGTAGCCTGTCTGCCGACAGAGGCCAACCCTAGGGACCCCGGAGGGGATGGACTGAAGACAGTGACCAATCCATTTGTCTCGTGCCATCCCTCTCCAGCCTTCCACAAACTTTGGGCAGGGACACCACTCCTATCCCCTGGCTAAGACTACTCCATGGACCCAACCTCCATGACTTGATCTCACTTCCCTTTAAACTCTGTTCTAGTTGTAGCCTTCACAGCCTCCTGCAGTAAGGAGTTCCGCAGGTTAACTATTTGCTTTGTGAAGAAGAACAACTTTCTCTTACTAGTTTGAAGCCTGCTACCCATTCCTTTCCTTTGGTGTCCTCTAGTCCTTCTTTATGGGAACTCAGGAAGAACTTTTCTGAATGCACCCTCTCCACCCAACCCCTGCTTTTAGAGACCTCTATCCTGTCCCCTCTCCGTCTCCTCTTTTCTAAGCTGAACAGTCCCAGTCTCTGTAGCCTTTCTTCATCTGGGACCTGTTCCCAACCCCTGATCATGTTAGTTGCCCTCCCCTCTCCCAGCCTTTCTCTTCCCTTCTCCCACCTCCTTTTCCCAGTCTCCCCCAGTTTTTTTCAATAAAGACAGAGTCAATGTTGGAAGAAATGTTATCTTTATTTTGTACATCAATAAGAAGGGGGGCTAGGGAAGGGTAAGTGGAAGGAGGTGAGGGAGGAATGGGGTACGAGCCCCCGATGGGGAGGACTGGGCTGGCTCTGCGGGTTTCTGGGGGTGGAAGCTCTCCTGCAGCCCCCCGATTGCCCCCTCTCCCCAGATGGCAGCCTGCGGCAAGTGCAGCCGGGCTGATGGCCGAGTGGTGTGATGTGCCCAGTGTGGGTAGTCCGGGCACTCCAAGCCAGGACTGCTTTGCAAGCGGGGCACCCCTGAGAACTGTCTGTCCAGGGTGGGGGGAGGGTCCCTTTAAGCACAGCGCTCGGCTAGCCTGAGACAGCAGCTCCACGCTCTAAGTCCTCCTCTGATGCCCTGCCGGCACTGCTTCCGGCCATCCTTAACCCCGGTTCAGGGTCCACTCTGTGTGAACAAGCTAGTTCGAATTAGCAAAATGCTAATTCAAACTAGTTTTTTAGTCTGGATCCGTTAGTTCGAATTAGCTTAGTTCAAATTAACTAATTCGAACTAAGTTAGTTCGAATTAGCGCTGTAGTGTAGACATACCCCAATTGAGTAGGCATTACTGAGAGAGTCTTAAATCCAAATCATTTACATCAGCATCAGCCAGATCAGAATCCATTTCTTAGTCCTTGCCTCCCTTGAGTCAAAGGAGGGAAATGTTGAAGTGTTATGTTAAAAAAAATGTTAAAAAGCAACAAAATCTCAGACTTAATATCACCAAAGATAACTTCCTTTGATTAATCAGACTCATTAAGACTAGCTTTATCATTAGCAGATGATTAACTAGAAGCCAAGGAGATCTCTATTTGCATCCTCCACTCCATTTTATTTCAACATTTAGCCTTTATGCTTAAAATATTGAGAAAACAGGTGATTAACATAGATTTGGTTTGCGTTTATGTTTACACATCTTTATCAACAGCATAAAAGGGAACTAAACAGTATTACAAAATGATTACTGTGTTTGCCATATACCTCTCATTAATTCCTCAGTTGTGATGTAGACTTATCTCGGCTATGTTTGTTTGGAAGCGGGGAAAAGGGAGAAACTAAAACAAAGACAAAAGAGCAAATTAAAGTCTTCTTTGGCCCAATTTATTTTGATCTTGAAAGTTACCAGCAGGAACCATGGGCCTTATCCTGTACCCCTTTGCTTATATAGGAACTTGCTATTCATGTGAGTAAGCCCATGGAAGTCAATGAACTGAGCCTTATATAGTCATGTACCTAATGCAAGGAGTGCGTGAAATGTTACCAGCTCAGAATGGTATTTTATATCCACTTGGATTTGGAGTAAATGGTTACACACAATTCAGAGCAAATGTGAAGCAAGCCCAAGGGGTTTAATTCTGATCTCATATAAATTGGTCTAAAACTTACTCTGAGTTTAGACCAGTATCACTGAGAGCACAGTTTGACCCAATGGGACTACTTGAATGAGTAAACATTATTCATATATGTAGTTGTGAAATAGGGCCTCCACTTGGTAGACAAAAAAGAATTCAGCTACTGCACAGAGGCCTCAGATGTTGCCACCCTCAGGGGGTAATCATTCATTTGAAGGTCATCCTTGTTGAGAGCGAATATTATTTTCCTTTCATTATAACTACAAGGTCTACACGCTTGTTGCAGCATTTCCAACCCTTGCGATTGTATCACAACCCTCAATATAGGGTGCTTTTCTTAAAGCCCCACCTCCTGGAGTCATGTGACTATCGGAATGTCAGCATTTTTTATGTTCCCAGTCCTCGTGCTTTGTGGGGAAACACTAAAAAAAAAGTTAACCCTAAAGCAAATTAAAAGGCCCCCAGGTTTATTTATTTGTTGGTATATTTTAAATCTCAATAGTTTAAAGTTCATCTCCTGAATTTGGAGTAGAGGGGGAGCAGGCTCATGACTGTTGATGGTGAGGGGATGGCAATAGAGATCATCACCATCCTTTGTATGCTGTTAAAATGAGTTCCATCCCTTTCTTTGAGGCTCAGCAAGAAAACAGGCTCCACCCACTTAGGGTTGCCAGATGGTTTCGCAAAAAATACCGAACCCCTCCCCCCCCCAAAAAAAAACGCAGGGGAAAAATTCTGTGGAGCAAAAATAAAGGGGGTTGCAAAAGTTGTTGAGTAAAAAATACCGGACACCTGGCAACCCTACACCCACTTAGAGCTCATTCGTGGATCGGGACTTGAGACTGAAAAAAATGTTTCACTGCATAAGGAAGTGGTTCAGGGCTGCAGCCACAAGCACAGAACATGAGGGAAGCTTATCGCCAAACACGATTCTTTCCTTGAGGCCTCCTAAAGCAGAGTGAGGTACCTTTCTGCACCTCCCCACTCAATTCCTAACAGTCCATTGGTTATCAGGGTTCGCACAGGGGGGTTGAACCTCCAATCTCAGCAGCATACACTTCTAGAGTGCCACTGAAAGGAATGATTCTCCTAGCCGGGAGCGACAGCAGCTACATATGCTTTGCAAATCCAGGGATCTGTAACAGACACTGAACAGTGGGTCACGCTAACATGCACTTCATTTATTTTAATTTTATTTTATTTTATTTATAAACCACCGCAAACATTGCACTGGCCGTCAAAAAGGAGCTGAAAAAGATACAGGTCGCCTATGCCCATGAAAGCTATTTAATAAATATCCTCAAAACAAAAACAAAAAGATTCCCCGTCCACACCCCGCCAAGCACAAAACACCTGTAAGTCAACAGAATTTAATCTAGTTTATTCTCAAAAAAAAAAGGGAAAAAATATGAAAACAAAACAAAACCAAAATAAAATAGGTCTTAACACTAGCAGTAAATAAATTTGTACAACCATTCAGTCTGTATAATAGGATGAAATAAATCTACATCTCTCTTAATTTGGTGCTTTGAAATATACATACAAACAACAATTACAGGAACTTGTTCACAATGCATATAGGCCTGAAGGATGGCGATCTAAAAACCCTCACTGGCAACAGCCGTATGTTAACACTGATTGCCCCCAAATCATTATTACTTCCTCTGTAAAAGGCCTGATGCCTGGAATGAATGATCTGCCTACAGCTTTAGTTAGTTAGTTAGTTAGTTAATGCATCAAACATCTTGAGCCAGCCAGAGAGAGAGAAGACACAACTGGCAGTTTGTCCGTTCGTTCATTAGACCTGGTTCTTCTCGGTCGGCATCTTTTTTTCTCCTCCCCATCCGCCTTTAATATTTTTTTCCCTCGGAGTCCTTCATGCTTGTCTTTACAGCTTACCCAGATGCAATAAAGTCTTCCTCAAATGTACAGTATTCCTTACAATATAAGTTATATGCAATGTTCATCTTTTTTGTTCACAGCACTAAAGACCCTGTTAAATAGGGAATATGAGTCCGAATGGCTTATTCACAGATGGAGTCCAGATTCAGAGGTTGAGAATACAGACACCATAGTGAGCTCCTTTAAAAAGTGGCAAACAACACTTTTATTTTCCTTTTTTTTTTTCTTTTATGCCTTCAAATAATATTTTTTTTTATTTTTATCCATTTGTTTTCGGCTTCCACTTGAGAACCGCACGCCTGCAAAAATGCAAGTATATAAAGTAAATCTCATTTTGAGACCGTAAAGCATTTAGCAGGGGGAGTCTGTCTCTAACCCATGGCAGTGACCATGCTGGAAGGATGATGAGGTCCGAAAGAGAGGCTGGAGGGTGGATGCATCGGTGTCGGGGTAGTCAGCATGTGGCTAGAGTGGCTAAAAGGTGAAATGTGGCTGATGGAGGACATGTGTCTGGAGAGGGCGGCGGGGTTAAAAGAGCTGCTCTTGGGGAAATCTTCCAAGCTGTCGTGGACCTTTTTGCACTTTTTGGATTTGCTAGACATTTTTCGGTTTCTGGTCTGAATTCCTTCTTTCTTCATAGTCAGGGGTCTGTTAATCTAAACAAAAATCAATTATTTTTTATTTCTTTTTTTACTGCCGTCCCTCCTCCCCCAGAGCACTTTGGAACTCATCACCGAACACTTTAGCAAGATTTTGGAAACCACCAAAAAAACTCCAGACCCGAATGAGTCTTTTGGGGGCATGTGAAAAAAAAAAAGCTGGTAGGGTTTCATGGTCTCCAAGACTAATTTATGTAACTTCCAGTGACCAAAAGGTTTAGGTTACCATGTTCCAGGACAATAGGTAACCGGAGTGCACTTGCAAAGCAAGCTAGTGAGTATCAGCTCATATGTTCCTTAAGGGCACTATCTCAACCCTCAAGGCCTCTTGTTAAGGCAAATTTAAAATCATTATAAAGCTAATACCCTGTGAAATTGTTAAATCTCAATATCATCTACAAAGGATCTAAAATACTTTTGTCACCGTCATAGTACTAGGGAAATACTGTAAAACATGAGCAAAAAGTATGACTGCTATTTTTTTTAAATATATTTTCTTTGGACATGCTTGCTGCTTTTTTCGTGTTCCTTTCCTGCAGACATTTGCTTCATCTCAGTTTTACTGGCAGGAAGCAAATTTCAAATTCACACACACAAATATTTGCAGAAAACCCAAACATTAAATTCTCACGTATGATCAATTTCACTAGAATCAAAGAAGAGAAACAATACTGTGTGACTGATCTAACCAATCATAAGTAAGCTCCAATAGGACATGCTGAATATCTAATTCTCATGGGATGCAATTCATCTCTATTCAGAGGGCCAACGTCTGACACATGCTCCACTTAAGTCCCTCTTATGGCTTAAGGGCTTAGTTTGGACTTAAGTGATGCGAAGGCCTTCTGCTGACTTCTCTTCACAGGGATGAATTTCACCCAGAGCAAACTAGGCTCCATCCAGAGAATTCAACTAAATCCCCAAAATTAACTGGATTTTTTTTTTTAAGGAAAGCACAAACAGTTGGTGTACATTGTGCAACCAGGAAAAGAGGCTAAATACATCTGATACATTATCCACTGCAAATTATTCTCTCGCCTCTAGTAAATGATGGTGTAAAAATATTATTCCTGCACCATTGTGACCATTATTTATGGCTATAAGAAAATGTACCTAATTGTATATGAGTTATTAATTAATGCAATGTCCCAGTCAACTTGGCCAAGTATTATCTCCATTCTATAGAGGGGGATTTGAGGCACAGAGGGCACATCTACAATACACAGAAGATGGATGCTGCCACGGTCGATTTTCAGGGTTCAATTTAGCAGGTCTAGCATAGACCCGCTAAATCCAACCCAACGGGTGCCCCCATTGGCACAGGACTCCAGCTCCTCACGAGGAGTAAGGGAAGCCGACGGCAGCGTTTGCTCCTGTGAACCTCCCGCTGTGTGGACAGGGTTTTAAGATCTGCTTTTCTGTAGCTTCTGGCTATTGTGAAATTAGGGTCAGAACTTGAAGTCAGCGGCAGCTCACACACTTAAAAGAGTGCACTCTTGAAGGCTGTGGACCCAGCCCTATGAGAAGCAAAGGGCTTCCCCCGATGTCCTGAGTATCATCTACTACTCCCTTTGAACTCAATCAGGCCTGATCCTACTTCTGGGGAATATTGCATGTGAATTCAATATACTGTAGCAAGATCAGCCCCCAAATCCCCACATTCAACATATTAAATAGATGGAATAGACAGAGATGCCCCATGCCTGCCTCTAGTGAGAGTCGCAAAGTGAGGGCCGCTAGTTTCAGTATTCTTCCTGACCATGCTCAGTCCATGTGAGCATGCTCAGTACAAGCCAAGGAGAAAATCTGCGGCATGGGGGTGCACATGACCGCCACATGCTCCCCCAAGGATCACCTCTGGATAGTATCACATATTAAAGGTCTGATCTTGCTCAGACTGAAGAAAGAGAGAGTTTTGCCATGGACCTCCGTGTTGCCCTGAGTCTGCAGCAAATTTAGCCATAATGCTCAATTAATCTCCAGGAGTCCCTGTCTCTGAGAAAGCACTTGAGGATCCTAGAAGGCACCCAATACATGTGAAATATTAGTCATTATTAATATGATTGATAAAGGGGCCTATTCAAATCAATTGGACATTTGCAAGTGTCTTCAATAAAAGCAGGAATCCTCCAAGCAATTGGGTTTGCTTTACCGGCAGGAATCTACAGAACATTAACAATAAATTAGCATAAGCAGGAGAGTCAGGGAACAGCATCAATATTATTGCCTTGCTGCATTAGCCAGGAGGCAGCTACAGATCAGTTGCAGGAGCAGGGCCGAAAACAAGCATAACTGTTTTAAGGTTGGAGTAAAACTCATTCATAAAAACACAAACATGCACGAACAACAAAAAAAATGTGTTCCATCTATTAGGGCCATTGTCTTCAGAGACTATTCCTTACAGTCCTCAGGCGAAACGCTGTTGAATGCTTCTTGGGAAGGACTGGAAGCCTCAAATTCGTATTGATCACCGCGGCTTATGAGACACGCCTGCCACCGGTTACAAATGGACTTATCTGTGAGACCCTGAGAAGTACGTACATCTGTCCCCCTGCTCACAAGACACTAGTGCTGGTTTGAAACGCCACATGGCCAGATCCTTAGTCTGGGTAAGCTGGTATTCCTCCATCAACTTCACTGATGTCCATTTAGTGCACTGGGGAAACTCTGCACTTCCCTGTAAATACATTTAGCCTCTAGAGGAACCTCGGCCAGATGCCCCCTCCATAGCAAGCATTGACGGAAGGATTAGTCTGGTGCTGCTCACAAGACAGCTAACACAATCTTATCGATCCTGCCTCCCAGAAAGAGCGCAAAGAGGTGGTCTCAGCTTGAAGGTGATACAACAAAACTCCCAGTGCTTTACAGTACATCATAGAAATCAGTCGCCACTTAGGATGCTGCCTTCCTGGCCTCTTCTTCACCACACTCTCCGGTTATTGCTTGCAGAATCTGCCTTCTCCCATGTACATTCCTTCTGGTTTGCTTTCTTTGCTGGTATTCTCTTATCTCCCTATCCTCTACATCACGCTATGACTTTTGCAGTCAGAGGCTCTTACGTTATCTGGGCAGGAGAAAGGTGTCAATAAATAAAACTCGATCTTCTATCCCACAGTCAGAAATATTTCGATCTGGAGGTAGTATTTTCCCATTTAGGCCACTGGATTCACTTAGAGCACAGTGCCACTTGTCTTGATATCAGAATCTGGCCCGTGGATTGCTGTCACTGCCCATGTTGCTGTTGTCACCAGCTGAAGATGTTTTTAAAGAATGTGAAAGTGGCTCAGCGTAAGTGATGTGCTCCGTGTCGCAAATTTCACAGCTGGATCTAAATATCCATGCTGGAAGGACATAATAAATGGGGTTCTGAGGAGATCAATTCCACATCCAGTTCTGTTCAATGTCTTCATCGATGATTTAGATAATGGCATAGAGAGGACACTTATAAAGTATGGAGATGATACCACTTGGGGGGGGGGCAAGTTGGAAGTGCTTTGGAGGACAGGATTATAATTCAAAATAATCTGGACAAACTGGAGAAATGGTCTGAGCTAAACAGGATGAAATTCAATAAGGATAAATGCAAAGTACTCCACTTAGGAAAGAACAATTGGTTGTAGGCATACAAAATGACTGCCTAGGAGGGAGTATGGCAGAAAGGGATCTCAGGGTCATAGTGGATCACAAACTAAATATGAGTCAACAGCATAATATTATTGCAAAAAAAAATCAGACATCAATCTGGAAGCGTTAGCAGCAGTTTTGTAACCAGGACACGAGAAGTCATTCTTCTACTCTATTCCACACAGATTAGGCCTCAACTACAGTATTGTGTCCAGTTCTGGGAGCCACATTTCAGGAAGAAATGTGGACAAATTTGGAAAGGCCCAGCAACAAAAATAATGAAAGGTCTAAACACATGACCTATGAGGGAAGACTGAAAGAACTGGGTTTGTTTGATCAGGCAAAAAGAAGACTGAGGGCACATGATAACAACTTTCACGTACCTAAAAGTTGTTACAAGGAGGAGGGAGAAAAATTGTTCTCTTTGACCTCTGATGATAGGGGAAGAAGCAGTGGGCTTAAATTGCAGCAAGGAAGATTTAGGTTGGACATTAGGAAGAAATTCCTAACAGTCAAGGAGGGTTAAGCACTGGAATAAATTGCCCCCGAAGGTTGTGGAAGCTCCATCATTGGAGATATTTAAGAGTAGGTTAGACAAACACCTGTTAGGGATGGTCTCTAGATGGTGTTTGGTCCTGCTGTTAGCGCAGGGAACTGGACTTGATGACCCTGAGGTTGCTTCCAGTTCTGTGATTCCCCAAAATATGGATCGGGAGGGTGTTGTTGAATCGGGTCCACCGCTGTTCACAACACATGAGACATACAGTCATAAAAGATGAATGGGTGGATGAACCTGCAAAAGCCAGACAGGTTTTTGATAGGAATCCGAGTGTTTGCATACACCAGACTGAACGAGATCCCTGCTCCTTTCTGGTCCCCGTTAGACTGGAAATACCACGGGACAGTTCAGTGCTTTCATTCCAGATGTCTGGAACCAGCTGCCATCAGGGGCAATAGGCACTTTTCCAGTGACTTCAATAGGAAGTCACTCCTGAGAGTAAGGAGTGCAAAGATACGTGGGAATGAAAACTAGTGGGGAAAGTTAACCAAACTTTGTTCCACACTTCATAAGGGGCATGTGGCCAGACTTGAACAATGATTTACATCATTTTTTTAACCCAAACTCTTTCTCTCATCCCTAGAGACAAAACAGCTTGAACATTAAATGGAAATGTTGGCCCTCGACTACATTCATGTCTGTTCGGTATTTCTAAATGAAACATAACAACCACTCCAAAAAAGTGACATCAAAACAAAGCAATTGGAAGTGTTTGCCTTCCTCCTATGTTGTTGTTATTATTCTAATGCTATGTATGACATGAACATAACAGTGTGAGCCTCAAGGCTCCTTTTTATTAATTATTACTAATTACTCATAAGTCATTTATTAATAGTATTAATATTAGTCTGTGGTATAATTCCACTCAGATTCCTTTCGCTCTTTCCTTAGGACATATGTCCCTTGTTTAGGTGAGCTGGCTTTGCATGGAGATATTAGATTAAATCTACCAGACATTTCATTTTGTTTCCCTTTCTCTTCCACAAGCAGCGCTTTAAAATTCACAACACAGGTTTGGCAGACTCTTCATCCCACTAACTAAATCAAATCCTCTTCATTTTAGGAATGGCTTGTATCATCCCGGACAATTATAGCTACCTTTTTGAAAGGAGAGGTGGGGGTTGGGGAGAATGAAGCAAGAAGGGCACTGGAAAGATCTAAATTATGACTGGTGTATTGTTTTTCTTGTCTAGAATTCATATTTTCTCAAGGAACTGGAGCTAGCATCCACAGTGTATCAGTTTGCAACATGGCCTGCTGTCTGTTCCAGCGTGCGGAGTCCAACACAAAGTGGATAATATCCCTCTCTGTTGTTAAACTCCTCCTTTCTTGGCTTGTGCATGGTAAAGGTATATCATTACTGACATGCGGCCCTGTCTTATAATTCTTCAAACCGGGTCTCATTACATCTGTCCTATTTGAATCACAATTATTAAGGAGGGGACGGGGAGCATTTCTTCAGCCCAACTAGTGGTCAGATCCTGACAGGTCCCAAAGGGATAAGTGGGTGTGCAGAATCTCTCCGAATTGGGGCTCTCTACTCCCGGGAGAATGTTTAATGTACATGGCTGAAACAGAAGCTTTCGTCCGAGAGTTCCAGTTACACTTACATTGTGCAGCTTGTAATAGAGCCCGCAGGCGTTACAGACGGGATCGCCATTGGCATTTCTCCTCCACAGCGTGGTGGTGGTGGTCTGACAATTTGCACAGGATGTGCCCGCCCGTCTTGCTGCCGACTGAGGGAGAGGGAGGGGAAAAAAGCACCCGGTATTAAAAAGATTCAATCAGCAAAACCACTGAGCCAGCAAGCAGCAACTGGATGAAACTAACGCATATTGCTAAATGACTCGTGAGAACACATGGTAATTCTGAAACTCCCCACAGCACATTCATCCCAAATTATACAGGAATGGCACGGGGGGTGGGGGGAGGAGGTGCTATAGTAAGTGTCAAACCTCCAGAAGAAATCATCGAAAATCGCTGCTCTGGCAAGTCACATTTCAGAGAGGAAAACATGACTTAATGGCCACCATGCTCTCCATTTTAAAACTTCCAGGCACCTCTGGGTCTGATTCTGCATTTAGGGCCCAAATTAACCACCACAGAAGTCAACAGAAAGCCTCACATTGGCCTCAGTGAGTATCGGATCCAGCATCAAAGCACATAAAAAACTCTAACTTGCAGGTATTGGGGGGTTGGATGTGCCAAGAATGCAAGATCAGACCCCAAATAAGGCTCAGTCCTGTAGCTTTTACTCACACTAAAGTGAACACAACAACTTATTTCAAGATAAGGGTGGGAGCAGCTGACTTATGAATCACATAATTTTAAGCCATAATTTTAACTGTCAGTGTTTCTGAGTATTTGTAGATGTGAAAGAAGACTTGACAGTTTTATAGAGAAAAGAAAAGAAAAGAAAAGAAAAGAAAAGAAAAGAAAAGAAAAGAAGAAAATTTTCATGACCTGTAACACAAGAATCTATGGCATGTTTCAGAACATGCTCCCTTTTATACATCATTATAAATAAACAATCACAACTTTTACAATTTCACTCCATTCTGTCCTTCCGAGCTAGATAAACAAAGCTCCTTACACTTTGTCATGTGTCAGGCTTTCAAATGAGACCTTTAAAGCCAAAGTCCTGTCTATCCCTCATGAACATTAACTAGTTATTGAACTCTGATTCCACACCCATTCATTTGCTTTAATGGGACTACTCATGAACTGAAAGTTACATGTGTGTTTAAGTGCTTTGTGGGATGTAGGCACCGCTGAGCACCTTCGGGAACTGAGTTTTAATTCTCATCTTTGTGCCACTAATCTAACCATTTACCCCACTACCTGCTCCAGCTGCATATTGCAACATGTACAACCTTCAAAAACCACTGAGTCTTTAGACATTGTACTACAAAGTTTAAACACATATATGGACAGTGGGGTAAGGTTCACTTTAATTTTGAATTGCCTGGTTTTTGGTAGGTCATGTTACAACTTAAATAATAATTAAATATAGCATAGGGAAGTTGATCTGGCGGTAAGGGCTGTTTTATTGGGTATTACACATCCTTTGTTTATTGACTGGTTAGCATTTTCATTATCTAGAAAAAAAGAAGCGTGAAATATAAAGTAAATATATACACATACAATAGCCTGCTTAGAACACTCACAATGATCTACTAATACAAAGAAGTTGCCATCATCTGAGTCAATGGGAGTTTAGGATACAGGTTGAATCTCTCTAGTCCAGCACCCTTGGGACCTCACTTGGTGCCGAACCAGAGAATTTGCCAAAAGTTCGACACTGTCTAGCAGCATTACCAACCCTTCCACTGCTTACTGGGCTCTTAGAAGACATTTAGAGGTAAAATTAGAGCTAAATTACAGCACAGAACACTAAGTGCCAGGACTGGGGGCTGTAAACAAACATTATGGGACTACGGGAAACTTGGCCCCACCCATGGTAAGTGGACGCCTGGCTAACTCAAATCATGCAGGACCACAGATGTTGCTGGATCAGAGAATGCTGGACTAGAGAGGTTCAGCCTGTACATAAAGGCTGTAAGGATCAGGTCCTAGTTGTGTGTGCAAAGTAAGCAAGATATGCAGCAATTTGTCTGTAGTTCAAGCCACAGAATTTGATTTTAACTATTTAGCATGTGGCGTGCTATCACTGAAAAAACAATGTGAAATCCTAGTCCCATTGACTTCAAGGGGTTTTGAGGTATTAAACCTAAACTTTCATCAATGGAGACTCCCACAGATTAGAGAACCAAGCTGTAAAGACCTGATCCCAAGCACCCAAAAGTTTCCAATTGACTTAAATGGGCTGTGGATTAGGCTCTAAATCTAACATGCAAGCATGGCATTTTCTTTTAGTCCAGGACACCCGAAAAAGAGAGCGAAGCCAAGGTGGGATGCAAAACCAGCTAAACATGCTAAAGAAAAGGGTAATTTTGCTATGGGAAACTAAGGTTAATTAAGATTTCTGACTGTTCTCCGTTAGTGGAGGGAGCCCCTGCAGAGCAGTAGCATGTTACGCTATGTGTAAACAATAAATTGCAGCCTAAGATTATTTTCTAAATTTGAAAAAAAAGTAAAAAACAACTAATAGTCCTGCAGCACCTTAGAGGCTAACAAAACATGTAGATGGTATCATGAGCTTTGATGGGCACAACCCACTTCTTCAGATTGTGGGTTGTGCCCACAAAAGCTCATGATACCATCTATCTTTTTTGTTAGGTCTTTAAGGTGCAGCAGGACTATTTGTTGTTTTTTTATTTGTTTTCAATTACAGACTAACACAGCTACCCCTTTAAGATTTCTTAATTTGGCAATTCTTTGTAACCGTGCAAACAAATTGCAAAGAAGTTAAATGTCAATGCTCCAAAGTCTTTCCAAAATTATGACAGATATCTGCATGCTCTGAAGTTAGTATGTTCAGATTTGCAAAACTATGAACTGCAGGCACATACTTGCTTGGCAAAGGGAAAAGTGCTCGTGCGTGTGTGTGTGTGATCGATTTCTGATCCCGCAGTCTTTCTCAGGCAAATCTAAGGCCCGAGTCCCACAGATACTTAGGCATATGCTTAACTTCAAGCAACTGACTAATCCCACTGAAATGTGTGAAATGTGTGTGTAAGCATTTGTAGGATCAGCATCTCATGCTGACTTGGGGCCTGATTCTTCAGTTTCTGCATGCACTCATTCCCGTTAGCGCCACTGGTCATTCCATGAGTGGAGCAGCAGCCGCAGGTTCAAGGCTTTCCGTGGGAGTTTTGCCCTTGTCAGACCTGAAGGATCAGGCCTCCGGGGATTTCTAAAACCAGTGATATTTGAGACAGCCCACACAAGAGGAAATGTCTCCCTTGGAGACATTTTGCGGTTTTCTGCCCTATGCCACGGTGTTCACACTCAGTAATTCCACAACACAAAAAATCCTTATGATCAATGTAATTTAAAGGCCAAAAAAGTAATATTCTTGCACAATCATCATTTTCCGAAAAGGAACACTTAAAACCTAATGGCCTTACCCTACGCCCTTTGGTGTCAATGAGAAAACTCCCACTGATGTCTATGGACACAAGAAAGCCCCCAGTTAGTTGTATACATTACAACCGGAGTGTGAGATTAGCGTGGAATGTCCTGTCAATACAAATCCTTCCTGGCAGAATGCACACCACCAGTATTTTGCATTTACAGCACATCTTCTGGGGGAGGATCTCAAAGCACTTTTCCATTCACTAGTGAATCAAGTTTCACAGCTAACCTGTGAAACTAAGCAGATCTGTTTTTAGGCACTATGGCCCACAAGGGTTCTGAGTCTGGTCCAACTCTCCTAGATGATGTCTGCCTTGATTTTAGTGAAATGTAAGGGCCTTATCAAAGGTTAGCAATGTCCTTTCATTGGCTTCAGTGGGCTGTCAATCGGATCCTCTGAAACTAGCCCAAGGTCATACAGGAAGCTTGTGGGAGAGAGAGAAATACATCCTAGATCCTGTGCCTTAACCACACGCCCAGCCTGTCTCTCTCGCTCTCCTTTTGAAAGTTAGAACAGACCAAGTTGAGCCACAGACATCTTTTTTTTAAAAACACATAATGAAATGCAAATATAAGTCGCAGCTCTATTGACAGCTGCCTTCGTGGGGAAGTTTGGCAAAAGCGCGTGGTATCAAATGGAGGCAGGCTGCTTACTTTTTTCAGTTTACATAGAAAAGGGAAAGGCAAAAAAATCTAGAAATCTAGCATTTATATGTCACCAGTAAGTGCAGACTGTTCAGACTGTAGGAACTTCTGTGGGGGGTACTTCACATTAAGGGCACACCATGATATATACTATATATACATAGTAAGTGCAGGTTTGGGGTGATTCTGAGCATTCTTTTGTTGGTGCAATCACACTTGTTTTGAAAGAACACCTTGCTGCTGCCCAGAGTTTTGTTCTTTGGATTTTTTTTCAACTCCCTTTCTCCTTCTAATACATTCAGACTCCTTAGTGTTTGGGTTGGGGAAGCAGAGCTGTTGTTTATGAGTTATCTCCAGGGCTCAGATATCCGGCAGCTTTTTCCTAGGAAGTTAGCTTTACACATGAAGACAGAAAGAAAAAAATAATAATAAAGACAGAAAAATGTGTGTGGGTTTAAGACAGGGCAATGAAAGGGGAAAGGATATGAGGGAGGGAGATTCCCAAAATCAAAATTATACAAGCACTTCCCTCCCTCGAAAGCTTTTTGCTTTTTCTAATAAAGATGAGAAACATGAGACTCGATTAAGTATGCCCAGCGTTTTCTTTTAAGGGAAAAGTTCATTGTACGTAATAGAGCAGTATTGCCTGTACCATGCGGTGTTTGAAAGAGGGGGGATACACAAGCGCTTACTCCTCCATCTTCAAACCTACATGCCCAAAGACACGTTCTCGTCCCTTTGGTCATTTGGAACTCGACCCCCAAAACACGTAACCTTTGAGTACATGAATGGTCCCTGCAAGGGAATGAGTCACAGGCACAAAGTTAAAGATGGGCCTCCGGTGTTCAGGTACATGCGTAACTTTACTCATGTGAATAACCCCACTGGAGTCAATGGGACTATTCACTTGACAATACTGTGCATATCTCCTACTAAGACCCATTGGCTTACTCACTGTTCATAAAGTGAAGCGTGAGCTGCAGGACTGAGGCCTGAGTGTTAGCAGGACCTGGACTTTAAGGGGAGTTGTATTATCTGTCTGTTAATTATGCTGCTAAGTCCCAAGGGGCAGGAATCACATTTTCCTCTGTCTTCTGAACAGCAGCCAGCCTACTGCCCGCATTTTTAATAATGAGGCTAAACATTCCTTGATTCTAAGTATGCAGCCACTTCCTAGACAGGGAACATAATTTCAGCCTCCATTTTTCCCCCCTCGTTGCTTGCATGATTATTTGCTAAGTACATTAGCCATGCCTTCCAGACCTTTTCGTGGCTTCCCGGGAAATTCACAAATAGATCACTGGGGATGCTCGACATATGATGTGTATTACAGCAAAAGCCCTGAACCATTATTTAATGTAATGAGGCATTTACTGAGGTGCCCCTCCGGCGGGGTCTGAGACATGCTCAACTTTACACACACTGTTCACTTCAGTGGGATTACTCACAGGCTACGGCGTCCTGTACCCTGCGTTCTCGTTTACACCAGTGGGTGTAAAACTCTTACCAGACTGGAACAGTAGCATTTTACACCCACGCTGCCCTGATGCAAATGACTATTCAAGAGCAATAGTGGATGGGGCCCAAATGTACGCAAGGGTGTAATTCTTTGCAGGATTGGATTTAATTTACCCAGGGCTGTGGTGGATTCTCCGTCACTGACACTTTTTAAATCAAGAGCGGCTGTTTTCCTAAAAGATCTGCTCTGGGAATTGTTTGGGGGAAATTTCCTGGTTTGTGTTATCCTGGAGGTCAGACTAGATGATTGTTATGGTCCCTTCTGGCCTGAGACTCTATGAGCCTATGATCTATCAGTGCCAGTGACCCAGGCAATCAGTCGTCCCATCAGTAGAAGCTGACCTTGGTGGGTGACATGCTCCACCCTAAATACCGCAATACCTAAACTTGGAAACTTTTTTGAGTTCACAAGGGGAGGGAAGGAAAGAATAAGTCTCTGCGTTCCTTTAAAACCCACAATCCCCATAGTCCCTCTTAAGTGGAGGGGAAAGTCATGCAAATTTTCCCTAAGAAGGGTTTCAAATTAAAAAAAAGGGGGGGGGGTTCAAAATCTCCATCTTTCAAAGTGAGGCCTCTCAGACCTTGTGCTCTGCCACACTCCTCCTCCAGCCCCGATTCCCCACCCCAGACCCGGGGATGAAAATCAGCCTCCCTTCAAGTGAACTCCTACAGATAAGAGATGTTTTTTCAAGGCACAAATATAAAAAAAAAATGGTACGTAACTTGGCAGGCACAGTGTAATGTGGGGGATGGGCTGAGAGTCTCTCTATAGCTCGTACTTTAAAACCCCTCTTCAGTACAGACTGACATGTCTGGGGGCTCTCCTGCCCTTTCCCTGCGGGACGCTCGCCATCCTGGGCTGAAGAAATCAAACACAGCAACGACAGAAAGTTAGTGCGGTTGGGCTCCAAGTTCCGGAAAAGGGACTTACCAGCCTTCTCTTGGGCTTAATCAGGGGCCGGTTCTGCCCGTTCATTTTGTGATAGAGTCCACAGGCGTTACACAGATAATGCCCGGTGCCATCTCTCCTCCACAGGGGGGTTGAGGTAGCGCCACAGTTTACACACTCCCTGCCTTCTGGAAACAAGAGGGCACATAGTTCACTTATGGAAAGCAAAGGGCAGGTGGGGGGGATAAGTGTGAACGGTCAGATCTAGCTCAGCCCCTCTTCCTCCTAGCCTTCCCCCACTCCCCTCAGCCACACCTTCCCCCAGCTCCTCTGCAAAGCCCTGGCCATCACCCAGTGGAAGGGCTGTGTGATCATGATCTCACACACACTCTGCTGTTCTGCTGGACACGCAAACCACAAGCCCCAAGTGTAAGGGGCCCGATCCTTCCCCAACAGTGGGGGCAGGATCAAACCCTTGCTAGTTTCCTCTGCGCTGGTGGAAATTGCTAGTCTGCGCAGAGGCCATGATAGTTAGCAACAAACATAAAGAAGGGCCTGATCCGACAGGGCTGGCTAGCAGCAACCACATGGGAGGGGGGGCTTCTCCCACCAGTAAGGACTAGCAGCTGATAGGATGGGGCTCTTCAGAGAGACACACACTGTCCACAGGTAGTCCCAGCCTGTAATCCTGACCCACGTCTGTAGCCCTTACTTAGGGAGTGGCTCCAATAAAGCTGTCCCACCAGCAAACTCCTTTGAATAAAGGCTCCATCGAGTTCCTAACCCCCTCTATGAATATGCCAATGAGTTAGGGCGTCAGCTAAATCACACGCGCCAATTTGACTTGACAACCCCAATCGATCTTTAATGTCTAGCCCAGCCCTGTGCTGCCTGCGAGTCGTTCCTAGAGGGCTGTGTTTTCTTTTTAAGTCAGTCAGGAAAGCAAAGCATCAGCAACCGGGTCAGTGAGGAGATAAATTTGGTCGATTTCTGGAGTATTCAATTCACAGGGGTGGCATTTCACTCCACCGATGGAAAACAAACCAAAAACAAACTTTGCATCACCCCTACAGGTGATTTGTCAGCCTCCACTCTGGATGAGGCTTTTAATCAAGAGATATATAAGGGAGCAATCCAGGTATATATGGGGCTAGTGATCAGATTGAAAATATTTTGTTTTCTTCTCCTTCTTATCGACCTACATCCCAATTCCTTTCTTTCTCACGTGAGGCAAAAAAGACCTTGTGGGCTGATGACTATTTGAAGTTTGCTCCTCTGTTACTACAGTTTGTTTAACCTAAATGAGCAAGTGTCAGAGGGGTAGCCGGGCTAGTCTGTAACTTTATAAACGAGTAGTTCTGTGGCACCTTAAGCTATATCCACATAGTAGCATTATTTCGGAATAACGTGAGTTATTCCAAAATAACATAGTGCACGTCTACGCAGAAAGCCCATTATTTCAAAATAAATTCGAAATAATGAACTTCTTACTCCGACTTCTGTAAACCTCATTTCATGAGGAGTAAGGGATGTCGGGGGAAGAAAGTGCTCTATTTCGAAAGAAGTGCTGTGTAGACAGTGCCAAAGGCCGAACTAAGCTATTTTGACTTCAGCTATGTAATTGACGTAGCTCAAGTTGCGTCCCTTATTTTGGCTTTAGCCCTGCTGTGTAGATGTGCCCTTAAAGACTAACAAAAAGAGAGAGAGACAGACAGAGAATCACGAGCTAAGTTCATGATTCTCTCTATATATTTTTGTTAGTCTCTAAGGGTATATCTACACAGCTGCATTTTTTCAGATGAACTGATGTTATTGTGAAATAACATCGTGTGCCTCTACACAGCAAGCCATTATTTCGAAATAATGGCAAGCTGGAGAACTTCTTACTCCGATTCCTGCAACCCTCATTTCACAAGGAGTAAGGGAAGTGTACTCTTCCTTCAACTTCCTGCTGTGAAGACAACCAAAAGCTGAATTAAGCTATTGTGACTTCAGCTACACAATTAACATCACTGAAGTTGCATAGCTTAATTCGACTTTTGCCCTGATGTGTAGAGGTACCTAAGGTGCCACCGGACTCCTTATTGTTTCTAAATGAGCAAGTACCCTCAGCCTTGCTTGGCCTATATTCTCCATGGTCTCTTCCTTGCTAAGCTCAGGCAGGAAGGGTGACCACACCGTTTCGGAATTGTTCCTAACTCGGTTAAGCCAAACCATTTTTACATTTCACCCCCAGAGAGCTGGTTGCAATAATACAAATCCACTGGGGAGTCTGCTCTTCAGTGTGGTGAAAGAGGATGGCCTATAAACTCTGACAGGTGTTGGGGAGTAAAAACTAGGCCGATGAAAGTGTGATCACCCACATACAACAGTTCTCGCCCAACCCTTTCTTTTAGGCAGCTGTGACCAGGAAATAAATGCTGCCCTCACCCCTGTGGCCAAGTGCTTGGTTGAACCAACCTGGCCATCCTCCCGCACTGAGCCAATCTCTTTCCAGAAAGGCCCGAAACGCTCCTAAGTGAACCTCGCAGGCTCTGCTTTCAAATCCTTGCTTGTAAAACCAAAGCGCAGGGGCCTGATCCTGCCAACTGGAGCAGAACCACTTTTCGTGTGTGGGAAGGGGGCGCTGCCAGAGGGAGGCAGCTGGGGGGGAGGGGGCACAAGGAGTTTCCCTCCCCCGACAAGAAGTTGCTCGGATCCAGTTCGAACTCCCGCGGGGTAATGAACTCGCGCTCCTGCCTGGCTACACCGCGTTCCAAGGGGCCCAGCTCAACGTTCCAAACAATTCGGAGTCAGCTCGCCCGAGGTGCGATCGCGCTCCCGTGGCCTGCCCGCCGCGCTGTGCCCGCGGGACCGTCCCCAGGGAACCCGGGGGCTGGCTCGCTCTCCCAGCCGCAGCCTGGGAGCTTGTGTTGGCTTCGGCTTCCCCGCTGCGCACCAGGTTCGCCCGCGCTCAGCCCGGCCTCTCAGCGTGTGTGTGAACCACAGCGTGAGAGCCCGTCTCCGGGCAGCCCCCCAGCCCACCCCCCGGCTCCAGCGCGCTGCTCCGCGGACACTGGCTCCCCGCCCCAGCCGGGCGCAGCGCCTGCTGGTGGATTGGATTCACCCCGGGCCTGCTGGGCCTCTGGCAATCCGTGCACGGCAGGAGTAAAACACACACCAAAAAAGGCATCCGCGCCCTAACCACAAACTTCAACCGTTTTTTCCAAAACGCGGCCGCCCGGCCCCTGCCTCCTTGTCGCGCCGCCGCGAGCTGCAAAACCCCACAAAGGTAGCAGCCGTTTCGCCTCCCTTCACCTGCTGCACCTCCCGGCCCTTTGCCCACCCACCTTCCCGGCTAGGGCAGGCCTCGGGGGGGGGGAGGGGGGAGGAGGGAAATGGCAGCCCCACCACAAAGCGGCCTCTGGCTTTCAAGCAGGAGCAGACGGAAAACAAAAACCAACACCAGCGCTTTGGATATGACTGGCTGGGCGCGCGCACCGGGCAGGCTTTGGGGGCACGGCTGCTGCTGCGAACGCCCCTCCTCCTTCCTGAGCTGACGGCACGGATCTTAGGGCTGGGGAGAGGAATCGCTGTTCCGAAAAGGGAGGAGGCGCGTGATCCGCTGCCTTGTCTAAACTCAAGACAAGACTGCACCGGACTTAGTTCTCCGAGCAACTCATGTGTCCCTTCCCACTACACACGCGGATCTGTTTGTTCCCCTCATTTCACTGGGCATCACCATGACTCCCTCTCTTTTGTTTCTCTCCATCTCTCTCTCTCTCACACACACACCCGTCTGCTTTCATGTACAGAACACGAAGGTCTGGGGTTTTTTTGTCACTCTAACCGCATCCGGACCCTATTAAAGTTCCTGGCGCTGGATAAACAATGCAACTGTCGCGTGCAGCAGCCTGAAAATAATTGGATTAGCTCAAACATATCAGCTAACTAGAGACAGTCCCTGCCCAGACAGTCAGAGTCAATGTCACCCTGGAAAAACCCGGCGCACGGACCGCGTCCGTGCCAGGCAGAAGGCTCCGCGCAAAGGAAAACACAGGGAGTTTTGACTAATGGTGCGCTGCTATCCACACAGGGAGGGACCCTTCAGGGATTGGCTTGAAACGCCCAGAGCGTGAACTGGTGGGAGGGAGACCCCGCCGCACAGGCTGCCACCGACCAAACTCCCTTTCCCAAAAGGCATTCCCAGCGCTCCCCCAAAGTCGGCTTCTGGAACGGGGCCGGGAGGTAAGTCCCAGCGGGCCTAGCTCCCTCGTGGCCCAGCGGTTCCTCTCCTTGCTGGAAGCGCTGGTCTAGCTGCCACCGAGGAAGATGTAAACTGCAGCTAAGACTTGTCCAGCCTTTACCCTGAGTAGCAGCTGTAATGTCCCCTCCCCCCCTTCACACACACCTCTGCTTCTTTACCACCCCCCTCTCCTCACAGAGGGGTAAGTCCCAGCGGGCCTAGCTCCCTCGTGGCCCAGCGGTTCCTCTCCTTGCTGGAAGCGCTGGTCTAGCTGCCACCGAGGAAGATGTAAACTGCAGCTAAGACTTGTCCAGCCTTTACCCTGAGTAGCAGCTGTAATGTCCCCTCCCCCCCTTCACACACACCTCTGCTTCTTTACCACCCCCCTCTCCTCACAGAGGGTTGCTTGGGGGAGGGGGCTGATCAGGCCCAGAGTATAATATACGG